AAGTACAGATCATCGAAGCGGTCCGAAATGCCCTTGGTATACCAATGTATAAAGTAATAGTTCACGCTCATCCAATGAATTCTTCATGAAATCATCAGCAAGCGTTGTACGACACAGCAACCCGCTTCACGATGAACTGAAGCCCTTACAGTTCTCGAGACACAGTTCAATAGCATATTCATCGGCAACACATACATCATTATTACCAATACTACCGAACGAAGAAAGTACAACCCAGCTATGAATGGGGCAAACTTGGTGGTGGTGCAAGCTTTGGATTCATACGAGCGATGTATGAACAAATGTTTGACTCTAGAGGGCACTAATGGCCTATGTAAGCGAACAACCCCATGTTTATAGAATGATTGAACGTACACACCTGTCCTCTGGAGGGAATTCCTTGTAGTTGTTAATCGTGTGTGTTAATCGTGAAGGGCCTATAAATATATGTATTGATTATTTCGACGTATTTTGTTGGTTACTTAGACTTGATTAAAGTGTATGTGTACACCAAAACTGCATCTTTATCGCCTGAAATCTCTACCCCAACACATTACCATGCTGGACAATTCAATCGTCGGCACGGACGAAACGTACTATTCTTCCTTGCTCCACCGAAGAGGTCTTCAATGCTGAAGCTAATTCATGATGCCACCCGGACGTACGACCAGGCCGTCGAGTCTCTTGCACGACTCGACCACTGCATACGGAATGCAACGCCCACCCTAACTTCGAGTTGATACAAGATACAGCTGTCCTATTGGCTGATTAACTACGAAGTTCGACCTAATTTATAGCCAATCAAGGAACATGAAATAGAAAATGCAACTTCGACAGGATAGTAAATTACTACGTAGTACACATTTTGAATCACCGAATGCAGTATTCAATAGCTAGTACAGTGAAACTGATTAGAAGAGGTTATGAGTACCTGAAGGATTTCCGATTAACATTTTTATTGATTTTCATTATTTAAATTATAGCCAATCAGAGTCACCAATGTTGATACTTGAGTATGATTGGATAACTCAAAGTGTGACACACAAATATCTTCGGTGGGCGTTGCATTCCGTCCTTCCCAGTACAGTAGTCCCCCACAATAGCGAACCTTTGATCGCAATCCGATATTAGAGGTATCACAGGACTAAGAGGTATTAAATGCTACAGGATATTTGCTTGGGTACCAAGTCTCTGATTGGTCAGAATAATCCATATGTTTTGTCAAACCACGACAACGAAAGTGCCCTGATTGGGTGGATAACATATTCGAATTCAGGAGGGGGTTGATACCCTGGCAAACTCCAGAAGTCAAAACCCATCACATTACGAGTTATTAAAACTATTAGTCAATTCGTATACTACTTCGTCAAGTATTCCAGTATGCAGTATGCGGTAAGCCACCCCGACATAGTTGACTTGGCAGGTACAGTAGTTTGGGCAGCTGGAAAGCCGCGAGCGCCCATTGGCGAGGCGGAGGCCTCGTAGCGTTGGATTGGACTCATGGTGCTCGAGCAACGTTGATTTTTGTTCGTCAGCCGTAGCCTCGACGGCTGTGGCGACGGCATGATTTGAGTACCAAATACTTGTTTATCATGTGTTGTGGACTATTTCAAATTATGAAAAAACGGATGTATGAGTCTTTTGGAATTTTATACATTTGGAAAGGATATCGACTTTACGTGGGTTCGGTATTGTGGGGGACTACTGTAGTCCTC